ACCGAGGAGGAGGAGCTGCTATAGGAACACTCAAGTACCAGCCAGCCGTTGGTGTTGGGCACTTGCCCTGCACATGCAGCCTGTGCCCATCCTCCAGCCCCACCAGCTGGCTCTGCTCCTCTTGGCTGGGGTGGGTGGCCCCACATGCCCTGCCTCCAGCAGGACCCACTGCTGGTTTTATGTCCTTAAACCTTCAGGTAACGTCACTTTGCCTCATTCTTGCTCTCTGTGAACTGCTGCTGAGGGTCCTGGTGTGGCTGGGAGGAGGCAGAGAGGCTCAGACGCTTGGTTTCTGCAGAGCAATGAGAGGTCAATGCAGGAGGTTGCAAATTCTGAGCTTTTCCACCTCTGTTCTTACTCCAAAGTATTCTCCAGGTACTTTACCTGGAAGATCACAGCATATTACTTCCTAACAGTAGCTGGGAAGTGGAAGCTAAAGTCATCCTCACATGGGAAATGAGTGATTCCAAAAGATTTCTTTTTTGTCTGAATGAAGCCTCACATCCCCTCCTCTTCTGCACAGAGGCAGTTTGTCTGTTCACTCTTTCTGCCTGTGCTTCCTCCCCAGGTCATCTGGCTGCCCAGGGCCTGGCCAGCAGTGCCCCTGGTTAGACTAACAGCTCCCTGTGCAGTACTGCCCTGTCCAGGTCTGTTCTCATACCTGTGCAGTGCAGTCATGAAATCTTTGCTGAGAGCTCCCCATTCCATTTCTGGGCATGCTGGTGAAAATCAGGGCAGCTGAAGGCAGTTCATGCAGAAGATGCTGTGCTGGACTCCATACTTCCCAACCCATTTCCCTTCTTCCTCTTGTTAGGTACACCACATGGGTACCTGCTCACTCCTGAGCATCCCACAGAAGGTGGGAGGAGGATTTTACACACAAGTCTCCCCCTCCAGTGCAGCTGCTTCCCCATGGGCATCCTGCTGGGCAAAACCCTGGGTGTTTGCCACCATGGTGCTACTGCAACATCAACCATGTCTTCAGCCTCTGCCTTGCTTCTCTTCCTCACAGCTCTTTGTTAAAGGTCTGAAAGAAGCCTGCTGCTTCTTGAGCAGCTGGAGGAAAGGATCCCAGCCCTTCCCTTCCTCCCCAGCAAGCCTCCAGCTTCCATAGTGATCCTGATCAGTTCTCCCCAATCTGTGGTAGGGAGAAAGCAGGACAAGCTCCACAATACTGCTGACCTTGTCTGTGAAGATTCAGCCTGTTCCTGCCCCTCCAGCAGCAGCAAGATGCTGTTTTACAGCCATCTCCACCTTTTTCTTGGAACTGTAAGTTCCTGCCTAGCCCCTCTGATGCTGCAGCCATCTTATCTCCCCCTCTTTAGCATCTCCAGCAGCCACAGGATGTGCTACTTTATCAAAATGCATCTTTAAAGACATTTTGTGCTCAGCCATACCCTATCTGTGCTATGTGACCTGCTTTAAAACCCTCTGCTCATTTCCTCTCCTCCCCCAGTCCCCAGGCTGTCTCACAGCCTGGAGCAGTTGTGAGCCCTGATGCTGGGAACTGCCTTTGGGTCACATCACCTCCAGAGGTGGTGTTGGCCAGAGCCCTTCCAGGCTGCAGACCATGGGCTCGGAGGCTGCTGATGGTGTGGCAGGCTGGGGCTAATGAAAAGCAACGTGGGCATCAGCCACGGCAGCAAAGGCATCTGCTTTGTGGGGTTAGTGGGCAGGACAATGTGGTAGCTTCAGCCTTTGATGTAAGGTGTTTCCCTGCTGAGACCAGAAGGTCAGCATTGCTTGCAGAGGCAACTAACTGCTTAACCAGGCATGTTCAGTCGTGGCATCCCTTCCTTCACCTCTGAAAGCTGTAACATTTCACCATACCCCTCACCACGAACCTCCTGTTAGTGGTAAGAAACGTAGTTTAAAGCAAAAGGTTAAATTCTTTCCCAAGTGCATTTAGATGCAAGCAGAGACCTGGTGACGTACGCAGAGAATCCCCAGTTCAGAGAAGTGTTCAGTGTGCACACCACACAGAGCCACTTTGCACAGGATGGGTTATGATGAAAGCTGATTTCTATCAGCCCACGACCTCACACTCTTCACACAACCAATACTCTGGCAAAACACCTAGCAACCAATGTTACAGAGGCTCAGCACCTACTACGTATATCACATGGATTTCCCAGGGTGACAGGATGTCTGCCTTGAGCAGGAACCATCTAATGCAGTCCTTGGTGGCAGGTTCCTGGTTTTGCACCAGTGTTTCCTCTTTCAAGTGCATTTTTCTGCTTTATATCTGCAGACTTGTACTCTCTCCTGGAACTAATGGGCTTAAAATCAGGTTAATCCTTCCACCCCCCCCACCATTCCCCTCCCAAGAAAGTGGAAAGCAGCATGCCTCACTCACTCCCTGACTTCTCTGTCTGAGAAGGGCAGCTTTGTAGACTCTGATTCACATTCATGCCAAAGTAAACATTTACTTAAATACCCTTTTTTTTTGGTAGAAGCCATGCATCTGTTAGAGGTAGGAGAAAAGTCTTACCATGTCTTTTCCTATTTCAGGTCCCAGAACATCATACTACAGCCACAGATCAGGACAATGAATGTGTCCGACAACTGCAGTGTCTCAAATCAGAGAGTATCACCCCACAGCTGGACAGAGCTGGGTCTGGGTTTCCTCAGTCTGCCCACATCAGTGCCCTTCATGTGTCCATCAGGGAAATGCATTTGCCCCTGAGTTAGCAGCCTGGAAAGTCAGGGCAGATGGGGAGTGGGTTGACCCCGGAGTGTTATCCAAACTCTCCTTAGAACAGGGCTTTTTTCTTTTTAAATACTGAAAAAAATCTCCAAAATGGCCTTTGAGGTCTGCCCAGGCAACGCTCAGTCTGCTGCTGTCACTTTTGGGAATGCGAGCTTGGGAGACATGGACTAATGGGACAAATTCCAGGGCAGTCAGTCTGGCTCCTGTCAGCTGGCTCACGTAGATGGGACAGCAACTGCTGCAGACAACAGACAGCAAAAGCCATCAAACTGACTAAAACACACCACTATGGCATGTCCTTAAACACGTTTCTAAAGGTTCTGGCACCCGCAGTGTGCTCACTGCCACACCAGCACCCCTTGCCCAGCCCAGCTGGCAGTGACTGTCGCTACCAGCTTGGGATTTGCAGTGATGCTGGTGGGCAGTCGGACACTGTAGAGAACAAGCAGGCACAGAACGTTTGTCACCTTTCTTGCAGAGACACCGAAGAGAAGCGTGCTGGGTCCCCTCACCCTGGCCTCACTGTCACGGGGTGCACAAGCACCGGTGTGCCCCCCAGAAAGGCCATTGCCCCCACGCTGGGGCATGCTCTGCGACCACACCAGAGGCTGCCACCGGCTGCTCTGCACCCCGGGGGACCTTTTGCTGCCAGAAGGGCCATTTGCAACCATTATGGGTTCTATTTCAGAAATGATGTGTTTTGCCACAACTGGAAGGATTAAAATTTAATGGCTGGGTTGTGTGAGGTGGGTTGCGGGGAGCGCAGACAGGCTGGGTGGAAAGAATGACGGTGCAGCCTTGAGCAGATGTGAGTGGAACAACAGAGGGCACCAGAGACTCGACCGTCCCAAAAGGCAGGTGATAAATGAAGCACTTTTGGGGAACAGGAGTTCACTGCTGTGTTTTCACTCGAGCTGTCGACAGCCGGCTGCTGGGCAGCCGTGCCCTACACGGAGCAGCACCCTGCCCTGGCACCCACGGCCCCAAGAGACCTCCACCCTTGCCAGGACACCTGTGTCCGTGCTGCAACCTTCCTGAGGACTGAACCTACCTGACGGCCCCACGAGAAGCAGGTAAAGTCTTTTTGTTCTTGGCACACGGGTGGGTGGCTGTGTGCTCTGCTGAGGGCTTCAGGGTGGGCTTTCTCACCTCTTGGCTGGAGTGCTAGCCAGGGCTGCCTATCCCTTAACACCCGGGTCCATCCTCAGCTCTCCAGAGATGCTGCAGTCCCCCCTGCTTTCACAGCTGTTTCACCTCCCTGGCTTGCAGCCACGTGTGTTATTTGGGGGAGGATTCAGCCCTGGCTGCAGTTTCACATCAATGCTTCTTTACCGTGGCTTTTCCCTGAGCACGCTGTGGCACGGGACCTTGGAACCACCACCAGCTCTGTGCTCCGGTGGGGCTGGGATGCTGAGCTGCTCCTCGGGCAGGGCTGTGTGTGCAGAGTGGCTTTTTCACTGCTGGAGGACTGCGTGGTGCTGGCGGGGAACTGCTGCATGGGTTTTGTATGCCACAGTGTGGCCAAGGAGCGGCAAGGCTGAGAGCCAGGACATTGTCTCTCTGCTAGTTCCTCCACGAATTCCACCCTAAAAATGGCTGTATCCCCATGGGTCAGTAGTGCTGTACCAGTTCTGGGGGTAGAGCAGGTGCTGCCCTTTCCTCTGTGGTTGCCACATCTCTCCTCCCATCTTGAACGCTAAAACCAGTTCACTTAGTTCATGCAATTGCACACTTTCACTGCAGTTTAGATGTTGATGCTTAGAGGCTGCTGACTTATAAGGCAATGTATTTATAAGAGATTGTAGGAATTTGGGTGGTTTTCTTCCCTGCCTCACTGTAAACATTTCCTTTATGAGCTGGAGGCTAAGTCTGATTCATCCTCTGCAGCCTCCTTGCTGGTAGCACATGCCCTGAGATATTTAAAGGAATACCAGGACATTGTCTGAGTTCTTGGATTCATGTTTTCTGCTCTAGCAACATTTTGGCTTCCTAGCTTTGAAGGCTGAGACCGGACATGTATGCTCGTTTTCCCCTCTCTCTGGAGACTTGTCATCTGCTAGGGCTGGTGGTTCCCCTGCAGAGCCATTTCTCCTCAGCATCCCACAGCAAGAGGAGCTGGTTCATGCTTGGGGGCAGCCTGAGCCACCGAGGCCTTCCAGGGGCTGCCCACATGTGCAGCAGGAGCCACAGAGCCATGAGAGCAGGACCACTGCAGCAGGAGCCAGCCCAGAGGACCTGTCCCCGAGCTCAGTCTCATGCCTGTGTTCTTTCCTTGCAGAGACAGCCCAACATGGAGAACTGCACCGAAAACAATGCAGTGCAAAATGGCACTGTGCTGTTTCAAGTCATCGTCTACATCCCTGTGCTCTCCCTGGGGATCCCACTGAACACAGTTGCCTTCTGGATCTTCTGCTGCAGACTCAAGAGGTGGACCGAGACCAGGGTGTACATGATCAACCTTGTGATCGCAGACAGTTTCCTGCTCTTTGCCCTGCCTTTCCTGATATATTTTACCAAGTACAACCATCCCATAGACAAGCTGTGCTCCACCATACAGAGAATCTATTTTACCAACATGCCTATGAGCATCCTTATCATCACCCTGATTGCCATTGATCGATACATTGCAATCAAGTTCCCTCTAAAAGCAAAGACTCTTCGATCCCCACTGAAATCAGCTTCTATCTGTGGGCTGCTTTGGATAATGCTAATAACTTATTCCTACTTGCAGCCAAACTTTGATGAAGAAAAGGAACAATTCTGCTTTCGGAAAGAATCTATTGACCCTAATTATTTATCGTTATTTTCCACTATTTTTGGTTTCTTTGTTCCCTTAGCGATTGTGATTTTTTGCTCTGTACAAGTCGTCAGTTGTCTCAAAAAGAAGATGGCCACGAGCCCTCATGAGACAAAGTTAATCCAGAAAGCAATCTACATTGTTTCTGTGAATTTATGTGTGTTCATCGTATGTTTTGCACCTCTCTACATCACGCTGCTCTTACGATTTGCAGTGGATGTTTCTGGAGCTTGTTCCCTGCTCTCGGGAGTTAGAACCTGTATTCGGATCTGTGCATGCTTAGCAAACTCTAACTGCTGTTTGGATGTGTTTTGCTATTACTTTGCAGCCAAGGAATTTCAGGAATTTCCTTCTCTGTTCCCTACTTGTATATCAATGAGGTCCAAGATGAACCACAGCAAAGAGTCACAGCTACCTACAGATCAAGACATGACACAGACGAGGTCTTGTGCACCATAGGTGTTAAGAGTCACAGTGCTGCTGAAGTTTTGAGGCAAAGGGAACGGAACCACCTACAGTATTTGCAACCATTGTAGGTATAAGCAAACCTGCAAAAAGGGGCAATGCTCTCCAAGGACATCAACTTGATATTGACTTGATAAGATATTAACTTGAATTTTGTCCTTCTGTCCTCAGTGATTTGACGCCAGCTCTGGTTGCTGTCTTGGATTGTTGTGTTGCAGCTTCAGGTATCTCTTGAGCAAGAGGCAGAGCCATATAGTGTTGCCCTATTCCTGCCATATAACACTTGTATTAGTTTGTGGCACCACCCTGGCATTTGTGAGACTAAAATCATACTGGATATGATGCACACGAGCCGCCAGTGCACACTTGCAGCCCAGAAAGCCAATTGTATCATGGGCTGCATCAAGAGAAGCATTGCGAGCAGGTCAGGGGGGGTGATTCTCCCCCTCTACTCCACTCTTGTGAGGCCCCACCTGGAGTACTGCATCCAGTTCTGGAGCCCCCATTACAAGAAAGATATGGAAGTGCTGGAATGTGTCCAGAGAAGGGCCACAAGGATGATCTGGGGGCTGGAGCACCTCCCCTGTGAAGACAGACTGAGAGAGTTGGGGCTGTTCAGTCTGGAGAAGAGAAGGCTCCAAGGTGACCTTACTGTGGCCTTCCAGTACCGTAAGGGGGCCTACAGGAAAGCAGGCAAGGGACTTTTTAGGATGTCAGGTAGTGATAGGAATAGGGGGAATGGAGCAAAACTAGAAGTAGGTAGGTACAGATTAGGCATTAGGAAGAAGTTCTTCACCATGAGGGCGGTGAGGCCCTGGAACAGGTTTCCCAGGGAAGCCCCATCCCTGGAAGTTTTTAAGGCCAGGCCAAATGGAGCTCTGAGCAACCTGATCTAGTGGGAGATGTCCCTGCCTATGGCAGGGGGG